CCAGTTAATAGAATCATTGCGTTTTTTTGTCAACAATGTGCTTTCATAAAAATTTGAAATTGGCTGTTGAGTTGTTGATGATTCTAAATTTTTATTGTTATTATCACCATTTATTTGCCTTAGATATATTCTTTTCTAATTTCATGAGTACAACCAGGACGATGATTTGTTAAATGTGATAAAAGTTTTTGTGGTTATCCATGACTAAACCTTTTTGTGCAATACTTGCATTGTGCAGAGTAACATCCTTTAGATTTTTCTTCTTGTTTTTTAGTAAAATGAATCCACACATTTGAGGAAGGTCTACCAGATAATTTATTTTGTGGATCCGACATTGTCTTAAACAATATTATCTCATGAACTTAATATTGGATATAAAAAGAAGGTGGAAGCTTGCTTGTAATTTGAATAGTTTATGGTCGTTTTACTAATTTCAATTCAAATAATTTTTACTCAAATATTATAAGGGGCAAACTCTTATATATAAATATATAAAACAAAAAAAAATTTCAATTTCAATTTTTACTTTCGTCAAATTGTCAAAATGGCCTTTGGTGAGAAACCACCTTTAGTCAGTACTTTCGTCACATCAATGACTAAAGTCAAAAGTTTCGTTATACATCATTACTGCTGTGCCAAAAAAACTATTTTACTATTCAATCCAACAGCACTACCACAAAACCGATGGATTGTTGCTAGTATAAGTTATTCATAACGTTAGGATCATAGTATACTGAATTTTGGTTCAAACAAAATCGGCGCATATTCTCAAAGTACACTTTTTGAGAACCTAAGGTTTTAGTAATTTTATTAGTTGTGTTATACATGGCATTTTATATAACAATTCGATATGTAGAGTAATATTGGATATTTACCATGGTGATTATCTTCAATTCTTTTTTATAATGATGACAAGACAAAGGATTCCGAATCTAAATCATTTTTTTGGTGACATCACTATACTGATATATATAAAATCAAGCCATACCTTTGATCATTGGTTTAATTGGTCAACTTCAATTCGTCAATTTCGTCAAATGTGATGAAATGAACAACGGTTTGACGAAATAATTTCCCACCCTGCAAGTATTTCGTCAACCATCCTTAGTAACAATTATTAAATTCAAGCCGCTTTTTTTTTTTGAGTGAATTTAATTTCATCATTAACATAAATAAAATTTTTTTTATACTTCACTACCAGAAAGTAATCATAGTTAATGTATCATGGCTGCGCTTCCAGATCTAAAAAAATAAATAATCTACGAGGAAGAAATTGGAAGTATTTTAAATAAGAGGTACCGTTGTGAAATGTCAAGTAATTGTAAATTAAGTTAATAGATAAATTATTCGTGGAATTTTTTCAAAATACTAATGGGATATTATATCATCGTAAAATAAAAGAGGTATATTTTTTCCATTTTATAGCAAAATTACCGGGTCCAGCCTCTAATTTTTGCAACACAGGAAATATCTTCATAAATATCTTCATAAACACCTTTATCATCATTAACATTACTATCAAACCAAAAATTAAAAATATTAATAAATAAATTAATAAAGATAAATTTTATTTATTTTACCTAAACTTAATTAACCTAACATAAGATCTTAAATTCAATGCAAAATTAGTTAACCTAATTTGAATTGAGATGGTATATTCATAAAACTTATATAATACTTAAAAAATGTCAACATAACAAGGTTGTCATTATTGTATGATGTTGCTTATTTGCTATTGCTATTTTGCATTTTTTCATATTTTAATTCCTTGTGACAAAAATCCAATAAATCCAAACAATTCTCATATAATTGTGTATCCGTTTGTTCAGTTTGTAAGTATTGTTGAAAACCTTCTAAGAGATTTTTGCCATTTAAATCGTTAAATCGGGCGGATTGGAGTATAGCATTAGTCTTATTGATGATGTTGTTGTCATAATTAATAGGAAGAGTATTATCGGACGAAATAGAACATGGAAGAAAAATAGCGGAAGATGATAAATTTGAATTATCATTTTTACAACTAGAAGAAGAAGGGCATAGATAAGGTGACGTTGAAAACTTACAATTGTTATTATTATTATTATCTTCTATTTTTTTTAGTAGTTCTGGTTGTTGATCAATAAAAGTATACTCTTTTGGTGGTTGATTTCCCAAAGTGTTGCTTTTTTTATCATAAATTAATTTATGTTTTTCACGGGCCAATTTTGTTAACATTTTGTAATAATTTTTTACTTTGTCCGATTCACTTTTCCAAGCAACGCTGGCTTCCTTTGAAAGAATCCTCCAATCTTTATGACCACCAAGAGATTTATGTTTTGCTGCATAATTTTTACGATATAGGATAAAAGCGTTTTGAGGTTTTGGGATAGTTGTAAAGTTGACATTATCAGGACTGGGTGAAATAAATTTTGTAATTTGTGAAGGATTAAAAAGAAGGTCATGACTCATATGTGCTGTGATATTTTTATTATTATTATTAATAATAAAAATTTTTATAGAGTTTTTTATCAGAAAATTATTATTATTATTTTTAATCGAATTGGCAAAAATTATTCTTCTAAATCAAAAATTAAAAAAGTAGTTCATAAAGAAAAAAAATTTATGGTGAAATAAAGGTTGTTTATATATTTTTTTAATAGTATTATAGTAATAATAAAATCAAATATAAGGTTTTATAAAAAAAATATTATTTAAAATATTACAATATTAATATTAATATTATTAGTTGTATGGATTAACTTAATCAATGACTGATTAATACTAAGGATGTTTGTGCAAATATTATTATAAAGTTAATGTAAATTTAAAATCGGTGCTTCTCACAAAACTCCGACTTTTTTATTCGTTTCTATATTTATCATTTGATTTGTTTTTTAATATGGTTCCCAATTTTTGATATGTAAATCGTAATTGTTTGAATACAAAAAAAAAATTACAAAAATGATATTTATTAACAACATAGTAGTTTAAAGGCCCAATATAGATATTTACCATTAAAGCCAAATAAAAAACAATGGACATTACTATGAATTAAAGATATTAAAAAGACAATGATCATAAAAGCATAAATATGAATCTTATGTTATTATGAAATGTTTTTATCATATATTATTAGCACGAAGACCAATTTAAAATTGACACATATAACAAATAACGCGAAAAAATGATTGTTTTTTTGGAATTCCATAATTATCTGATAATGCCGATCCTGCACAGTGTAATAATAAGATAATACTAATTTGTAATAGTTATAATGGTAATTAATTTACTGCTTTCTGCCTGCAGAGTTTAGAACATATTGCTCAATGTTCAATGAGAGTGTTATTCGTTGGGTGCTCTTTTCTCCATATTGAAAATTTAAAATTCAATATACACCCCTGGACAAAAGTATCCGTCCTCTGTTTTTACTAACTATAAAAACGCACATAATAACTATATATACATAAAATTTTATCAAATGTAGCTTAGGTTTTAATGAATATGTTTGATATTCTTGAAACGTTAGAAAAACTTTAATTAAAAAAATCCTCGAAATCCGACAAACATGGCAATGATCAGCTAAATATTTATTTAATATAAACAAATGCATGCCTCAATCCTTCTAAGCATGTTTTTTATAAGTTCCATATAGAATTTCTTGGCTACCATTCTTATAAAGCAGCTTCCAATTCGTTGGCATTTTTTGGTATTGTGTTCGCTTATCTAATCGCCTCCCTATTTCACTCCAAAGATGTTCAATTGGATTAAGATCTGGGGATTGTAAGGGCCAATTGGGTGCTTTCATGAAGACCAAAATTTTCCTCTTCGTCTTTTGGCATTTTTACATTTTTAAGATCAAAAAATTTTTTTATTAATCTTGATTTTTATAAATGCGATTTTAATTACTGATTTTTTTATTTGTGCTAGCCAAAATTACAAAATTTTGCATTCATATTTTAGATAATCTAAGCTACAAATGATATAAATTTAATTTTATTATTATTATTATGTACATAGGATTCGAGTAATTAAAACATCAGAAAATTTTCCCGCCGTAATATTACGTCCATAAATTTTAATATGTAAAGTTGTAATATTGCATAAAAAATTATGTAATATTTACATTCAATGTAATAATAATTTTGCATAATATTACGGGGCCGCCGTAAATTTATGTAAACAGTGTAATGATTATGTAAATTCCGCGTCAGAAAAAATTTCTGATGAATAAACAAAAAATGATTCCACGATTTTCGTTGGGTTTCGAATTTTTAGTTAAAATTTTTCTAACGTTTTTAGAATATCAAACATATTCATTGAAACCCTAATCTACAATTTTATGTATAATTACTATGTATACTTAGTAAAATAGGTGCCTGGAGGCTTTTGTCCAAAGAGTATAATATCAAAAATTCAGTGCAGAGCTCAATTACCCTATAATCTATTACTATACATAGTACCGTATTAAAAAATCAGACCTTTCCGGTGCACTTAAAAATGAAACTTTAAATCTATCTAATTTAATCATTGATGAAAATTAAATTCACTTAAAAAAGTAAATAAAACGATTCGAATTAATTAATAACTGTAACTCTAAAAAATTTATGATCTCTTGCACTTAACCAACCATACACACATTTGGATCTAGTCTAGTAGTAATCAAATGATTATGAATTTGAAAGTTTTCGATTGTTATTATTAGTATTAACAGTATTAATGCAGAAGCTAAAAAATAAATGAAAAAACAAAAGAATATATATATATACATACAGAAGTCTTTTTTAAATCTACAAATTAGTACAAGATTTTTAATGGTGATATTTTATTAATGTGTGTCGAATAAATTTAATAACAATATTATCTTTTATCACTACACAGTGAGTCTCGATTTAGCGGACCTCGATTTAGCGGATTTAGGGGTTAAACGAATAACAAATTTTTCTGTAATTATTTTATCTCGCTTTAACGGATTGAATGTATTTTTCATATTAATATTAATATTAATATGTATTCAATTTACCAGATATTTTTTAAAAACATAATAAATTTCTCGTTAATACGGATAATAATGATACTTATCATTTTTGACTAGTCTATTTTACAAGATAAATAAATATATATGGAGTGCAAGTATTAATTAATATTATTAACAACATATCTCTAATGATACAAATAAAACAACTATAAAAACGAAATTTCTTATAGAACTACCCAAGAGGCAAATAAATGTTGAATTGACGAATTTATGAGTCAACAACGATACTAATATTATCGTTATATTTTATTATTATTATTATTGGATCTGGGACACTTTACCGACAGGACACTTTATCGACAGGACACTTTACCGACAAGACACTTTACCGACGGGATACTTTACCGACGGGACACTTTACCGACAATCAAAATAAAGTCGAACTTGACATAGAAATGGTCTTGCGATGAACATCACGACTTCCACAGAAACCACAAGATCGTAATCGTAAAATACGGATTCAATCAGTATTAAAAGACCGTAACATTAGATCAACTATAGAGTTTCTTCAGGGCATTGCCCGTAATATTTCATTTTAAAATTTTAGTTATTTTTTTAAAAAAAATTTTTTTTTTGTAATAATAATGTATCTATATTATACTTGTCGTCGGAATTTCCAAACAGAAATAATACGGTTACAGCATATGCCGTATTATTTGCCGTAAATAACGTAAACCGTAAAACCGTAAAACCGTAAATACCGTAAATACCGTAATAGTAAATACCAGAAAGTAAAAGACATGTGTAATAGTAATGGCATCATGTCTATATATTAATATGCAGCATGGTTTATTTATTATTTATCATTATTTTTACAACAATTAAAAATTCAAATTTCTCCCAAAAAAAATTACTCTAGCAATTCTTCAGAAAAAATTGCATCAAAATTAACATTATGAGATGAATTTATCTTCTATATTTTATTAGAACTTGAAAATTGTTCCATCAAGTTTCACATTAGTTGGCACTGCAGAACAATGTAAAGCTAGATGCCCTTTCAAAAGTTCAGGTTTCCCTCTAGACCAAGCTTCTGCGCAATAATGACATTTGGCAGAGAAGTGGCCATCTCCTATTGTTTCTTTAAAAAAATGCTCCCAAACAATTGATTCTTTACGACCTCTTTTTGACCATTGCTTTGATGATTACTTGACATGCCCGACCTGACAGAACTCATAGAACTCATTTTTTCCTTTTAATAATTGAAAAATATTTTGTTAAGAAAAAACTTATCACTTCTATAATATAACTATTTCCATAAATATTTATTATCACTCACTGTTGTTTAAAAACTACATTAGTATGTTTATGTTATGTTTAATTGAATTGATAAAAAAGACATTTAATATTATTAAAGGTTCATAGAAAATTTTTCTATGTTGGTATTAGGTATTACAGTACTACTGTGGTATTAGGATTTACAGCATTTACGGCATTTGCGGCATTTACGGCATTTGCGGCATTTACGGCATTTGCGGCATTTACGGCATTTACGGCATTACGGCATCACGGTTTTACGGTTTTACGGTTTACGACTTTTATGACTTTGAGGTCTCATGCCGAAAATCATTTACGGCTTATACGTAATGCCGAATTTGCCGTAATTATGGAATTCCGACGACAAGTATAGGCCGAACGTCAAAGTAAAGTACGTAGAAACGATGGAACAGGTAAGGTAAAAATCCTGATATGGGAAATTTTTATGTGTGGAAAGTTCTCGCATTGTTTGTTACAGCACTAAAAAGGCAGATGAAGTAAAATTATGGAGAGAATTATCGGATGGAATTAGTTACATAAATCCTGCTTGTAAAATCACTTGTAATCAGTTTGGTATGATCAGGATCCAAATAGCTGGTGAAAAGATATATTTAAATGTTCTTGTGAACTAGAGATTGGCACCGTTAACCGTTTAACCGTTTTAACCGGTTAATTTTGTGTATAATGGTAAAAAATTATAATAACATTAATTATCTTTATAATTAACAAATAAATAATAAACAACCGCAATATACATATAATCCATTCGTTCATTTAACATTAAACAATTGAATAATTATCTATTTTTATAATTAATATGAATTTTGTCTAGATTTTATTGAGAATTACGTTAATGAAGAATCAAATGAAACTGGGAATGTAATTGATATTGTGGGTGATAATGCGAATAATAAGAAATACATTAAAAAAAAGTGAAAGGAAATCAAAAGTCTGGGATTACTTTGAAGAAAAAGCAAACAATATTATTGCAAAGTTTATTATCAATCCTCGAACAGAAATTAAATGTGGTGCAAAATATGCTAATTCTGACATCACATCAACATCAACATTAAATCATCATTTAAAGCATTGTCATCAAATTTTAGTTAATCTTGAAGTATGATTAGATTTTACATTATTTGTTTAATAAATGTATTCATACACTTCTTTGCAAATAAACATCTTTGGAGAACCTGTATCAATAAGGAAGTAGGCATTCTTTACTTCTTGCTTGATTTTGACCGGCAAAGATATAAAAATTCTGAATAAGGACCGAACATAATTCCATTCGCTTCATTCGCTTCTGTATGAGGAGAATCTGATAGGTATTTGATTTTGAGTTTTTTTAGAAATTTCTTCGTGTATTTCTTTAGAATGAATATCTTGTAACGGATACAGATCATTGATTTCATCAATTCATCAATCATCTTATTTTTTATTTGCAAGTTTATCTTGTATCACATTTAAATTCAACATGTGACCGAGGGCCACAAAAAAACTTCTGGCAGAAAGTACTTGGGATCATGTAGGCTAAGTTCTTTATATAACGTTTCAATAATGATCATAAAAAACCGAAGGCTAATAAAAGTAATAAACCTGATAAATTCCTAGGAAACATCCTATAAATACGTATAATTAATTTAACGCATCCTCTTATATATACTGTCTCTCGTCACCCATAGTGCAATAGCAAAGGTTGATTGATATTTTATTGTATTATATATAGTCATATTAGTAATTTATGTTAGAGAAATATTAAGGTGTACAAGTGAAAAATTAAAGAACAAGACCCTAAATGATATTGTAGATCACTATGATTTCAACATCCTTTATTGTGACATTAATCTATAATTTCTAATTATTATTTGAAATATTTGATTGTGACCCTCTAAGTGCATCGTCTCTAAATATGTACATTCCAACTCAGTCCAAGGAGTGCATTTGTAGACGTTGACTGTATTTTTTTAAAACATATTGTTTAAATTTTGATAAAGTCAAATTTTTAAAAACAATAGAAGCAATTCGTTATCTTGAAGTACAGTAGGGAGAGCAGAAGACACTAAATATATGGGGCACTACACGATAATTGTTCCCAACATTTATAATATACATCAAGAATATTATTGCATTTTTTTCTACTGCTGCTTCATTCGCTACAGTTTGTGAAGGTGGTTGCCAAAAGCGTATCGCCTTAGTTACTTTACAATAAGACAACATTGACCTTTTCCATATTTCCATGGAGAGGTTTGAAATGTTCAGCTTTTGACTTGGGAGGTGATTTGGTCAGATAAAAAAATCTTTTAGACCTCTGATTGATCAATCATGTAAGAGAAAATTTTTTTCTTCGTGTAAAGTTTATTTAAGCCTAACTCTATCTCATATAACAAATATTTACTTAAATAAATACCTACCGCTACAATTACAGGCATCAGATCGATATAATTTACATGAATCTGTTTTAATAGGTAGCAAGATTAATATATAGTGAAACATGAAAAAAGATCAAGAAGAATTCTCGATTATGTTATTCCGAAAGATTATAGGGTTTATGCCCGATTCAATTTTTGTGCAGATTTTGATACAAAGATTGTAAAAATACATTTAAAGAAATCATAAAAGTACAAGCATTTCTAAACCAGCAATAACCCAAAACTGATTTTTCGCTGAACTCTCATAATAAACCTTCCTTTCGATATCACGAGCTATCAATTCATCTTTTCTTAACTTTACCATAGACAAAATAGCAAATCTTCCATCCTCAAAAGCACCTGGATTTATAATTGCAGTCTGACCAATATGTGAAAGACCGAATGACCAATGTGAATGACCATGGATATTATTAATAATTCTAATATCATGTTTTAATGATGATGAATTTGTTTCAGAACTTGGTGAAGATGACATTATGAAATCGTGTAGTGCCAAACTTTTTTAAAAAGATATATTTTGATTTGTTATTTTGAAAAATATTTATCGCAATGATCATATGTTCCTTACCTTCCTGAACTTATTGCCAAAGAAGATTGCAATGGAAATTTATCAACATTTGTAGTTCCAACATCTGCAGGACCCACATGTGTTACAAGAATAATATCATCATCTTTTACTTTATTCAATAGATTTGGTAAATTTTTTGTAAAAAGTGATTCCGAATTCCTTGGATAAGCTTTGAAAATCATTCATTATATATATATATATATAAAACCAATTAAAAAGTTTGTAAAAATCATTTACCAGGCCAGACAACGGTGTCAGGCGAATTCTTCAAAACACCATTTGTGGAGCCACCAAACCCAACTATACTTAACCCCGGTTCTTTCACACACATTAGAATGAAGTGGAATTGGGTGGGTAGTTATGTAATATAACGATGATCAATAAAAAGTGAATAAGTAAATATGATAATATTTATTTCATAAACAAAGTTAATAAAAATATAATATTATTACCCAATTGCATTGTTTGATTATGCATATTCTTACATTTCTTATCATCATTATTACCACCATTATCTTGATCCTTTGATTGAGTAAAAGAAGTGTCTGGATCATGGTTTCCTGAATGTGATGTTATTATATAACAATTTTAATGACAATATAATAATAATAATAACAATATACAGTAGATTGATCATTTACCAGGAATGTAAAGTAATGGTTTATCTAAATTCCTCAATTCATTAATCACTTCATTAAATTCCTTCTTATCCTTATCATCAATATTTATTATTATGATTATGATAATTATAATTATAATAAATAATATAATCCTTGGAGAAATAAAAAACGTGATTTAATTATAAAAAATCACCTTTTCAGTGGTCAAAGGTGTTAGATAGTCACAATTTACAAGATCCCCAGATGCAATAACATAATCAATTCTATTATATTATAATTATAATTATAATTATAATTAATTACTATTAAAATATAATACAAACAAAATAATGAATTTTGGTGGCTAGTCAACACACACTCTTTTAAACGATCTCGTTTTAACAACCATTGCTTTAGCTTTTTGATGTCTTCCAAGTGATAATGAATATCACTTACAAGAAGGAATGTATAATGACGCTTATCAGACATATTCTACAAAACAAAATAATTGATAATTGGCTGATCAATTCGTAAAAAATGGCGATCATGGCAAAATGACTTTTGAAATAATATCATCTCCTGTATATATTATTTTCCCACAACTTTACAGAACGTGGTGGATGTCGCTCTGTATGAAAGAAGATAAAGAATAATTTATTAATTGGTTAATAATAATAATAATAATTATTATTATTATTGTTATTATTATTATTATATAATCATTCATCATCATCATCCTTGTTATTGTTGTTGTTGTTTTAGGGTTCCATTAACCAAACTTGAACGTCTTGTAAAAGATCATCTTTTTTGGAGTCTCATTAAAAGATGAAGTTATGAAGATCATGCCTGTTCAAAAAATAAACGCGTGCAGGTCAAAGGATGTTATGTTTTGAAAACAATAAATTTTTTCTTCCAATAAATCTTATATATGTGTATATATTTTAACTAAATTAACCAAATTAATTAATTAATAAATTATCGTTAGACATTTTTTGTAATTGGTGGCATGTTGGATTGGACGTTAAATGTTCTAAAGAAGCGGCAACAGCTATTCGTGGTGCAATCATCCTTGCCAAACTTTCAATCGTTCCTGTTACTAGGGTTCATTGATTGGTGAATCACACATTGTACCATCTAAAGTTACTGGTAAATGTGGTTCTGTGGTGTGCCTGCTCATAGAGGTACTGACTGGCATTACTGATTGTTATGCAGAACTACTCGAACTTTGGGTAGTTTTGTTAAGGCTACCCTTGCTGCAATTGGTAACACGTATGCTTATTTTGACACCTGATTTATGGAAAAATATTAGTACTCGGTGATATTTTGGCAATCTTGAAAACACAAATGATTTAAACTTTTTTTATTATTATTATTATTTCATAATAATATTTATTATTAAATTTTTTTAATTAATCTATTAATTATTGACTGATAATTTTATATTGATTAATTAGCTTAAAAGTAATGACAACAAAAATGTACATTTGTTAAAACTTATCTTCTACTTATAACAAAACGTTACTTTGATAGCATTATAAATTTTGCTCTACTTTTATTTTTTGCATATAAATTGTCTTATTTGGATATGAAAAGGAGAATATAAAAAGAAAATCTTTCTTCGATTTAGTTTTTTTATCTTTGATCATTTGATATTTTATCGTCTTTTATTTTTTTAAAGTCTTGTTCAACCCCTACCATTTCATTATCATTATTAATTTTATCATTTTGATGATCGTCGGATGCAACTACGTCGTCCAACTTTTGTTTTTTATCAGCAGGTCCAACATCCAACAACCTAGCATCTTTTTCAACGATTAAACTTCTTAACCATTTATTTTCCAATTCAAGTTCCTTGATTTTTCCTTCGTACAATTCCACCTTTAAGGCCATTTCTTTTGCGCTTCTTTCAAGTACCTGTTCACGTAATTTCTTTTTAACACGGAATCTGGCAGATGCGGCTGTGTTTCTTCTTCTTTTGTCTTCTTCGGCTGCTAATTTTGCTGCATTGTCAGGGTTAATCGATTCTGAATCATTATTGGTTGATTGTTCAGTTAATTTTATATTGTTATTATTATTAGCAGAAGATTGAAGTGGTTTGGCCGAGGAAATCTTTTTATTGGTGGAAGTATTCTTGGATCCATTATTTTTATTATTATCATCATCACTATTATTATTATTACTGCTATTGCCATTATTATCTTTTGTGATGTTTAATAACGCAGTGGAAGAAAATAAAAAAAAGAAGATTTAGTGGGAGTGATAAATGTAGTGTAATTATGATGATTATTATTATTATTGTTATTGTTATTGTTGTTAAAATTACCAATTGAATTTCCTGGAATAGCTACCGTGACTATTGAAGGAGCGGAAAATATAGGAGGATAATGGGCAGAGTTGGAAGGCGGATTAATGGCGATAGGCTGTGTGATGGCGGGTATGACAGCTGAATTTGCGGGATACGTAAACATAGGATATTGGTTTGCCAATGAAAGAAAATCCTGCTGAACTAACATACTAGATGATGAAAACATGGCTGAAACATCTTGATCTTCAAAATTTGGAGAAACTTTTAAATAATCCATTGGACTATTGTTAAATTCGGCCTTCTCCCATATCGACAGTTCTTCAAGATCATTTTCAGTTTGAGACAGAAAATCGTCAGAATCTAAATTCGGAATATATAGATTGTTGCTGTTATTAAAATTTGAACTCATTTTTTAACATTTGTCGACCTTGAGTTTTGTTAAATAAATAAAAAAAAAAAATCTTTTTTTAAAAAGGGATTGAGGAAAAATTTTTTTTTATAATAAATAATCAGTAACACACGTTTCAATTTTTACTCGAAATGGAATAAATTTCAATGATTGATTAGTAATTCATTGCGGAGTAATTTTCACCCATAATTGAATCCATTCTTTTATCAACTGCATTTTTAATTAAAATAAATATTATTTTAATAATTTGAAAACACAAAGGAAAATCTTCCCGATTGGGAAAATCCTTTATCTGTCCGTGAATGGAGAATCAAATAAAATAATGTATGGAAACAGTGGTTATATATATATACACACACACACGTCGGATATCCACTATTACTTACTACACATTTATTTTGCTTCGTGAATTTCAGATTTAAAAAAACAAGACAAGCCTTGCGTACTCTCGAAAAGAAAACCATTCCTGTTATTACATATATTTATAGTAAATAGTAATAGTAAATATAAACAATTGCGATTTGTCGGGATTTTAAAATAGCCGCATCCTCGTATTTTTAACGAAAGCAGGTGCGACGTCAGTTGTTTGTTATGTGTATGAAATTAAAACTGTTATTGAATAATTATCACGATAATCGCGATAATCGTTGATAATAATAATAGTAATGGTTGGTTAATGGTAATATTTATAGTAAAACAGTAGGATAAAAGTTTGCTGTTACTATTACCATTATTATTACTATTTTATCCGTTTAGAAAAACCGGTTAAAAAACTGGTTAAAGGCCAATTTTATCCATGGCTTTAATATTAAACATAAAAAAATTGTGATTACGTCATTAAATCGCTTGTTGAATTATTGGCAGAAGAGATATTTGAATTGTGTTTGGATAAAATTAATTTTAAAGGCTTAATCTTATCTTGTTTCTTTTTCACCAATCTTAAGAATTCGAATTTCGAATTTTATTGAATGAATGTATGATGGCCTTTATCAAAATGACGTCGTATCACTCACTATCTTTTGAACTTGGCAATCTTGAAAATCAATCCAAGTTTCATTGATCGAGTTCACACTTAACTATCAGATTAAAAATGTTTGATCACCCATCCTTGGATGAATTGTTGATTGTGAATGCGGTTTTTTTTTAATCCATCTGATAAAAACCCCAAGCTACCAATAATCACAGTTGATTAATTTGTTTCTTGTGCTTTAATTAGAACCTCCATATCGATATCCTACGAGAATTGTCATACTGATCACCCATCCTTGGATGAATTGTTGATTGTGAATGCGTTTTTTTTTTAATCCATCTGATAAAAACCCCAAGCTACCAATAATCACAGTTGACTAATTTGCACCTCCATATCAATATCCTAAAGAGAATTGTCATACTCTTTTCAGGAACATATCCAAGATCTCAATGGATTTCATTGCATCACTAGACAATTCAATGATTGGAAACTGTAACTACACCACTGATAACGGTAATCAATAAATTTATTATAAAAAATTCTCAAACAAATTTGACAAAAATTCCTCGATGTGATTGGCCAATTATTATTATCATAGATTGAAAATCTTTCAAGTTATCTAAACCTTCTTTTTAATGGCTGAAACGCTTAAACATTTATGTTCCTACATTATTCGAGATGATTTTGGTCCAGTAGTAGAGGTAATAATGTAAAATATAATTATTGCCTTCCTTCAAATTACCCCCACCTTCTTTACGACACATTAATACTTTATTTCTTTCAAGCAAGTTGCAAAAGCACTTTTAGAAAAAGGACGGCTAACTCTACAATCAATCTCCACTCACTCAAAGCTTACTATCTCAAAAACACGCGAATGTATTTTTGTCTTGATTCAACATAATTTAGTTTACTGGGCAGAGTCAAGAGAGGGTGAGAAAATTTTTGTTTACTATTCAATTGAAAAAAATGAAATTATATCAAGATTGAATTTTGGAATTTATTTAAAGAATGCTAATGAATGGATTGGACATCTTGTAAGTACACGTTCGATTTGTTGTTTTGATTAGTGCAGTAGTGAATGAAAAAAATCTACATTAATTTTTTAATTTTTTAAAAAAAGTGCTCACGTAAAATTGTTGAACAAATATCGCTAATGGGAAAAACAACATTTTCAAGCTTTATTGAGGAATTGAAATTATCTAAAAGAACAAATCGTGAGTTGTTATCATATTATAATAATTATAAACTTTAGATTAATTAATACATGTTCAATATATATATATATATATATATAACATATATACTTTTTATTAGAATACAAAGAATACAAAGCTTGTTTTATTAAAATGATAGAAGAACGATATCTCTCGCCAGTACAATTTACTGATTCAAAATCAGCCCAAGATAAAGCTTCTGAAGCCGAAGAAAAAGAATTGGCTAAAATGACAAACTTCATACCAACAAAAAAACAAATGTCACAAGTTAAAGCAAAACTTGCGTTAAAAGAAACCGAATTTGATTCTCCTTCTTCTTCTTCGATAACTGGATCGGTATGATTTATTATTGTTGTTATTGTTGTTATTGTCATAATTATTCTTAGTAATGATTTGGTTTTTTTTTTTTGAATAAAGAAATCAAAATTAAGATATGAAAAGGCTGTTAGGCCACAAAGGGTTTCAAAGTGTTTTTATTTGTTTATTTGTTAATTAATTATAAAATAAAAATATTAAATTATTTCAAATTTTATTTTAATTAGGAAAATAAAAGTGCCGATAACACATTAGATGTAAGAATTTTTATTTTTTATTATTTACAAGTTAATATTTAAAAAACATATATATATATTTTTTTTTTAGGAAAATCAATATTATCGTCTGAATTATGAAAAGCTCAATGTCAAATTAAGGAATATGGTATGATTATATATATATTCATATGCAATGATAAATTTTTTCCTAATATACTTTTTAATGATTTATTAATAAATATTAATTTAGCGAATAGAATTATTTGTCAAAATACGTGTTAATTCTTTTGCAAGTCTAATAACAAAAATATTACTCGATATAGCAAATGAACATAGACTAAACGAAGTTGAATCACGTAAACTTATTTAATCTAATTTAACTTAATCATATTTAATTAATAATACTATTTAATTCGCTTTCTCTTTCAGGTCCAATCTCGCTACAAAGAATCCACAAATCTTTCCCAGTCGAAAAATTAGATTCGATGTGTCAACATATGAAGATTGATAGACAGAAATCAACGAATCGTGAACTTGTTATTAAGCAACATCTTGATTATTTGGTTGAAAATGAAATTAATTTATTAAAAAGGAAAGGTGACGATGACAGTGATGATGACAGTGGTAATAGTACGGGTATCGGTATTAGTGGTGGAATGTATTACATTCAATATCAAAAGGTCATGGAAACTATAAAACAAGAATTATTTGAAGATATTGTTTCGAAAAAATATGATCATACGGGAACTAGAATTGTTAGACTTTTACATATGAAAGATAAACTCGAAGAAAAAGCGGTTTGTAAACAAACAGGCCACACACACACATATATGTTAATTGTTCCCTCTCTGAGATATTTATTTATTTTTTATGTGTATAAATAGATTGCGACTTTTACATTGATGACTGCATCAGATGTACGTCGCAAATTAACAGATTTGTTAAATGGTGGATTTGCTCAAATTCAAGTAATAATAATAATAATAATATAATAATAATAATAATAATAATAATAACAATAACAATAATAATAAATTGATAATTGTTTTATATAACAAAAAAAATCTTTACAGGAAGTCCCAAAATCTGCAGATCGATCACCATCACGTACATTCTTTCTATGGTATGTTGATTATCAACACTGTTATCGACAGATATTAGACAATTATTATTGTACACTGGCAAATATTCATCGAATAAGATTTGATAATGAGGAATCGTCAGCTAGATTGTTGGAAAAACAAGAGAAAGAAGAAACATTGAAGCAATTGAATCCAAATACACACCATATACAATTATTAAATGATTATGAAAGAAAAGAACTGCATGATTTAGAATTGGTGTTGACTCAATTTGATACTGCTCAATTAAGAATTGTTAAAGACATTATGCTATTTAGAGATTATAAGTAAAAAATAACCAACCAGGCTTATTATTATTATTATTATTATTATTATTATTATTATTACTATTACTACAACTACAACTATTACTATTATTATAAAAGGTGGTATGATTGATTTGTTTTAATTAATATGGTGCGAACGGTTTCGTTTTATTACACTGATGACACTCTATCCAATAATTACTCAATATATTTATTTTATTTATTTACAACAATAAAATTTCTATTATAAGGGAAAGTAGATTTTTACAATCACTTAATATATATATATATATATATATATTTTGAATAATTGAATTATTTAAGATTCTCATATTCATCAACATTTTATTCCTGAAGTTGAAAAAAAGACAAAGTTTAAAGGCGAGAACTATTTAGAAATTAGTTTTATCATAGTTCTAAATTAACTTTGTCAGATTAAAAAAAATCAAATCATTTTGAAAAAATTTAAAAAAATTATTTTTTAGATTTCGCTTCTTTTTTAAAATATAGACTTGATCTTTAATAATTATAGATTGAGATCCTAAAAAGAAGTACATGTGTACGTACATACATATATATGTATCATTCATTCGCCCTTTATTTGCTACAAAAAAAGATTCAACTTTATTTGTACTATCGCTCTAATTTACCAGTTTTTTCCGGCAAAGTTTTCATTTTCTTATAATAATAATAATAAAGCGACAAAAAAATTTATGATTTATTTTAATAAAACTAAAATTCATATCTTTTTTTAACGAGTTCCAAACAAATAAGATATGCTCTAAATTCTTTACTTGGTGGACTCATTTCTTGAGAAAACCTTGAATCCGTCAATCTAAAAGTCTCTATGATTGAAGCCGGTAACTGGATATGACGGTTGGATTTTGGATAATTTTAAAACCATACCACTCTTTAAAACGCTCTTTATAATTAGACACTTTGCTATATTTAAAATTTTTTGAACCTGTAATTTTTAAATGACGCGATTTTTTAAACAATCATACCTCGTTTATATCCCTCCTATTTTTCGAGAGGTGATATAACTAAATATTGACTTGTTTGTTATTATAAAATTCAGTCATTTGAGATTGATATTGTTTTCTATCCGTAGATATATTTAAAGATTTCATTATGGTTAGCATCTTCCCTAGTGGCGAAATCACTTTTCTTTACAATCTCAATTGCTTTTTTCCCATTCTTGGTACGAGATTGTCGGCTCTTCTTCCTCTTCATTGGTATCTTCTATTAATGTTTTTAATGATCCATTATAGAGAATGAGCCATTAATTTTACATAGCCATTAATTCAATATATTACCACAGCCTTTTAATTTAACATGGCTTTTTTTTTCGTGGCTTAGGACACGTCACGGAAAAATTATTTTACATATATACAAATAAGGTTAAAATTGGAGATATAAAGTGAAAATATACTGGAAAATTGGGATATTAGCAAGGTAAATTTATATTGTTTTACAATAGGGAGATTTATTCCAGAACGTGCTAAAGATGGGATATAACTAAGGGGATATGAATGAGGTATATGTTAAAAATTTTTAAAAGTAAATTTTTTGATTTTTTTATCATTCATGTTTATTTGAAGCGGTACTCAATTGATGAGATGACCCTTGAATATGCCGTGGAGCAACTAAGCGAACTTTCTAGACCTTTTTAGAATGCTCCCAAAATGTTTAGATGTTACTAAATCCATTGTAGATCAATTGATTTGCGGATCATTCTTTTAACTATAAAATAAATCCTTGCTTGGCATATAAAATAATTAGAAGGAATTCTAAAAAAAAATAGAAAATATTTGAATATATGATGCAGAACGCTTATAACTACAATAATTTCACAAATGACTTGAACAATAATAAGGCAATAAAGCCCGAAAAAAAACCAAATGTTAAAATATCAGAGAATATAACAGATTATGTTGTTTGCTACTGTGGTAATAAACCAGATAGACGCGTAACAAAAAGTGAAAAACATAAAGGTTGGGAGTATCTTGTATGTAAATTTAATACTAAAACTCCAAGGAATCAGTTTTGCAATTTCTTTGTGTGGGCTCATCAAGAACAAATAAGATTAGAGATGTTTGGATTTATTGACAAAATCAGTATTTATCCTTCTCTAATAATAATAATTACTATTCATATTTTTCTTATTTATTATTTTTAGCATTTACAAATAATACTTATATTTAGATTATAATTGTCCAATGATGCCTTCTCCCTCTTCTTCACCACCGCCAGAACATTATCCCTCTTCCTCTTTTAATAGTTATAACAACAACAGTAGTGGTAACAGCAATTACAATAACTATAAGTCAAGAAAGCCCGTAAATAATAATCATTATAGTAACTACATTGACAATAACAGCTACAATAATAATTATATTGACGATGATAGTTACAATAATAACTATGGTTACAATAATAATTATGGTTACAATAATAATAATACAAAAACCACATCTGAAAAGAAAAGAAAGCCAGAAATTTCCAATAAAACTCGAGTTCCTTCTGGTCCGATTTTATTAACTTCAATGACGGATAATATTGATAGTATTGATTTTTGGAGCATACCACCATCACACTCTAATCTTGATAATAATGGTAAAGATGATGACGACAACGATAACATAGTAATAGATAATAAAATTGACACCAACAATATTTATAAAGATGATAACGACAACGACAATATAGTAATAGATAATAAAATTGACACCGACAATATTTATAACAAAAGTAATTTTGAACAAATTGGTGGTAATAGCGGTAGTAAAAGAATATACAATGGTTCTAATAATAATTATAGCAACCTAACTACTTCTGAAGTATGTAAATTACTAAAGGACCATTTAAAAAGACAAGAAAAAATAATCGAGTCTTTAAGAGGAAAAAAAGATGTAAAAGATGATGATGATAACGATGACGACGATGACGACGATGACGACGATAGTGATAATGATGGTGGTGATGTTGTTGACGATAATAATGATAATGATAGTGATGTGAATATGGATAATGGTAGTGAGATTAAATCTTTGAAAATCGAATTAATTACACTTGAAGAAAAAAATCACGAGCTAGAGGAAAGAAATCGCGAGCTAGAGGAAAAAAAACGCGAATTAGAGGAAGAATTGGAAAATAAAGAAGAACTGGGTGAAAGAAATAAAGAATTGGAAGAAAAAGTTAAAGAAATGGAAAATGAGAATCAAGAAATGGAAGAAAAAGTTAAAGAAATGGAAAATGAGAATCAAGAAATGGAAGAAAAAAATAGGCTTTTAGAAAAAAGAAATCATGAGTTGGAGAATAAAATTAAAGATTTAGAAGAAAAAAATAAAACTGAACAAAATGAATTAACAAATGATCTAAATTCTTTGGTAACAATTAATGAACAAATAGAGGAAGAATTACTCGAAGAAAAAGATCGTAACGAAGAGTTGATGGAGGAAATCGCAAAATTAAAAGAATTATTACAAAAAGCCTAAGAAATTATATAGGGGAATTTTATTATCATTACCATGTGAACTTGATAAGTTTGACGCAGCAATCAATTGTTGATAATATAAATAAATGACCGACTTTTCGAGTTTACGTGTATTATTATTTTTTTTTTGTAATCATTAGAATTTTTTTTTTACATTAGAGTTTTTTTTGTAATTATTATTATTAAAGTTCTTTGCCCTTATTAATTACAATTATGTATTTGATTTTATTCGTTTTCGTTGAAACAAAAGTGGTAATGATCGTCAGAAGAAGGGCTTCATATTGTATTTTTTTTTTTTAATAATTGTATGTACAAATAAAATAGTAAAAAATAAATTTAATTAATTTTTAATTTTAATTAAAAGTTTGAATTACCAAGAATGTCCGATTTGATGAATTGGGAAGAAATAAAGAGTGTAATTGGTAAGTAAAAAACTTGATTTGTTTTTTAATTCAATCAAAAATGTTGTTAAATAGGCAATATTAATATTATTATTGATTACTCTTTATAGAATCCGGGTTAGTAATAAATTTAAAAATGGTTATTTATTGTTAAAAAAAACACATTTATTCTAAATAAATAAAAAATTTATAGGAATTTACAATTACTTACCCGTACAAATAAGGATTTAAAGATTTACAGAGAATTTCGTGCAAAAATTGAAAAAGAATATGGGTTAATTGACAATTATTTGATTAAACAAGTTTTAAAATGGAATTGTTTTGATATTAATAACAATAACATGTCGTCGTCATCACCATCAGAAGAAGAATATTTCACAGCGACAACATCATATGAAAATTATAGTTTAAAATTGAATGATTTTCCTTATGCAATAGATCCATCAATAACACATTATATTTTATGGTCAAAATTACCGTTTAATCCAAATGATAATGATAACCGTGAGGTTGAATTATTTATAAAAGAAAAATTTGGTGATAATAAAGAATGGTTATGGTTTATCAATCCTATAAGGCTTCAAAGTATAAGATCAATTCATCATGGACATATATTTATAAGAGAAAAACAAATTATAAATATATATTCTAGAGATAAATAAATAATTGATTATTTATTATTTATTATAATTTATTTCATATTTCATATTAATTCAACGTTGACACTTCTCAACGCATTAACAGCCCAAACAGGATATTTATCTTTTGAGCCAAATAAATCTTTAAAAAATATTTGTATAAATTCAGGAAATTTATCATTCAACACGCTGTCTCTAATCTGTTTCATTAATCTAAATTGGTAAGCGATATTATGTATTGTGATAAGATGACATCCGATTGTTTCTTTAGTGGCATGCAAATGAACGTAGGCTCTGGTGAACGATTTACATGTTAAACAATTACAATCTTGTTCAATTGGTCTAAAATCTGATGCAAATCTGGTTGATTTTAGATTTAATTGGCCTTTCGAAGTTAATGCATTACCAAATCTCTACAAAAAAAAAAAAAACTTTTTTTAAACGAAAAATAATTAATTGAATAAATTTTACGAAAAAAAATTTTTTTTTATTACTCACGGCTGTACGAGTGGGATATACGCAATCATACATGTCAACACCTAATGCTATACACACAACCAAATCTTCTGCATACCCAACTCCCATACAATATATCGGTTTATTTTCTGGTAAAGAATTTGTACATAATGTAACCCTACATAAATAAATAAATATTAATCAATCGATCAATTGGTGGTTTGGGTAAAAAAAATACAAATAATATTTTAAAACAATTTTTTTACATTTTCCAAAAAATATCTTTTTCTTCTCCACCACTTAATCCACCAATAGCATATCCAGGTGTGTCACGTTTAATCATTTCTATATTCAAAAAATGTAAAATAAAATAATTTTACATTTTTTGCAGTTAATTAATCAATCTCTTTGTTTATACCTTGAAGACATGTTTTCCTTAAATCTACATCCAATCCACCTTGTATTATAGCAAATAGATTTTGCTCATCAGGTTTTTTATGAGCTTTAATACATCTATCTAACCATCTAATGCTTCTATGCATTGCCTCTTCAACTCTAGGACCTGTTGTTAAGGATGACACAACATCATCCAATTGCATTATAATGTCGGCACCAATTGAATTTTGTATTGACATTGAATGTTCAGGTGTTAATAACATTTTTTTGGTGTTGTCGTGAGGTGATTGAAATTCAACGCCTTCTTCTGTTATCGATGCCAACTTTAATAATGATACCATTTGAAATCCACCACTATCCTAAAATTAATTGATTATATAATTAATAGAATTTAGCGGTTCAATTTCTTGCCATTTTAATTAATATATATTTTATATACAGTTAATAAACTTCTATTCCAATTCTGGAATCTATGTGATCCGCCAATTTCATCTAGCAATTCTTGTCCGGGTCTTAATCCCTGTATATATGTAAGCATAAGTAAGTAAGTATATATATATATATATATATATATAGTTGTTATAATAATGCTAATGTATATTTAATTAATATTTACTAGATGATAAGTATTATTCAACATTATTTGACAATTTAAATCTTCTAGTTGTTTTGGTGTTAAACCTTTTAAAGTTCCTTGAGTGCCAACGGGCATAAACACAGGCAAATCAACTAAACCATGTGGTAAAGTCAATTTAGATACCCTTGCTTTAGTTGTTGAACATTTTGCTAATATTTCAAATTTTAAAGCTGATTTCATTATTATCAATCAAATAATTTAAATTAGAAGGGCCAGAAAATACGTGTTTAGGAATAGGGAGAGGGGTTCTCAAAGTTTGCACGTCACACATATTTATATACTCGAAAATTAATTGACTGAAGTCACAGGGAGGATAGCCCTTATATAAACTCTTAATCACGTATACACTTCTGGTAACGAATGTTGATAATTCTCCAAAAAAAAAATTTTCACCAATTGAAATAAGCTTTACACAATATAAATTTCATGCACACACAAAATGCAACATAGTACGACATTGCAACAAAATAATTTAGTTAATTGGTTGGTTGGGAAAATACGATTATTATTTTCTATTTTAAAAAAAAAAAAAAATTTCTTTAATTAACTTTCACTCATATAACAATAAATAAGATTTTCTTTCTTGTCACAAAAAATAACTCTTTGTTGTTTCTTTTAAAAGCTCATCCAATTTTTATTTGAACTATTGTTATTTTATTGTCTATCCATTTATTTTACTTATAATTACATACAATAATGTCACCAAGTGCAGTTGCAAATAGCATTGGAATTGCTAATTTACCAAACCAACGTCATAAAATTGTTTCAAAACGTGGTACCAATTTCACTTTAATGGTTGTTGGTAGGTTTTTAAACAGTTAAATTTGTCGTGATAATGAATTATATTGAATCGGTTAAACAAAGAATCACGCTTTAAATGAATATATATAACATCTAAATGAATGCATACATACATACATACATATATTTAATAAAAAAATAATTTTATGATTAATTAAATAATATTTGTAAATTTAAAGGTGAATCTGGTCTTGGAAAAACAACTTTCATCAATACACTTTTCACTACCACCATCAAAGAAAAAAAGAACCAAGCAAGACGCCATGCTAAACAGACAGATAAAACAGTAGAAATTGAGATAACAAAAGCTGGTATGTGATTAACTGAATACAAGATTACGGGACAAGATGTGATTTTGTTTTTGTTTTTGAAGACGATTAATTAATCAAGTAATTAATGATAATATCAACATATTTATATAGAACTCGAAGAAAAAATGTTCAATGTCAAACTTACAGTAATCGATACTCCCGGATTTGGAGATTATGTAAATAATCGTGATAGTTGGTTACCTATTGTAGAGTTTATTGATGATCAACACGAATCATATATGCGTCAAGAACAACAACCACATCGCAAAGAAAAACTAGACATGCGTGTTCATTCTTGTCTTTATTTTATTCGTCCTACCGGCCATACGTAAGTTTATTTATTATATAAAGTAATTATAAAGTAATAATATTAAATAATGACAGCACTAATAATAATCATAAATTTTTAATTATAATTGCTAAATCAGTTTAAAGCCTTTGGACATCGAAATCATGAAACGTTTAGGATCTCGTGTTAATCTTATCCCTGTTATTGCTAAAGCTGATACTCTTACACCAAATGATTTGGATACATTCAAAAGAAAAGTAAGATATTTGATTCTTTAAAGGAGCTTTTTTAAAAAAAGAATAAATTAAATATTTCATTTATTTCTAGATAAGAGAAGTTATTGCAACACAAAATATTCAAGTTTATCAATGTCCAGTTGAAAGTGACGACGAGACAAATACTAAACGCAACATGAACATTATGGTAATTTGAAAATTTTATAATAATGTTATTATTATTTATTAATAATGAACTTATTTTAATTTTTTAAAAAAGGCTTCCATGCCATTTGCAATCATCGGTAGTGACCAAGATGTTACTACACTTGATGGTCGTAAAGTAAAAGGTAGACAATATAGCTGGGGTGTTGCAGAAGTTGAAAACGAAGATCATTGTGACTTTAAAAAACTTCGTGCACTTCTTATTAGGTAATAATTATTATATTTGTGTGTGTATATTAATATTTATGAAATAAATAATTTATTCTAATTTTTTTTTTCTTTTAAAATATAAAATAGAACACATATGTTAGACTTGGTTTCCACAACTGAAGAGATACACTATGAAAATTATCGTCAGTCACAAATGGAAACCAGAAAATTTGGTGAACCCAAGTAAGAATAATAATAATAATAATAATAATAATATTCAATTATTTAACTTTTTTTTATATTAATTAATTTGGTTTTGAAAATTTTTTTTTACAGACCCAAAAAACTTGATAATCCCAAATTTAAAGAAGAAGAAGAAATGCTTCGTAGAAGATTCACCGAACAAGTTAAACAAGAAGAAAACCGATTCAGAAAATGGGAACAACATGTAATTATTAATAATTATCAATAATTTGATTGTTGATTATTTTTGGGACAAATAAAATTATTAATATAAAAAATTTTTTATAGTTAATCGCAGAACGTGACCGACTCAATAAAGATTTGGAAGCCGAACATTCTCAAATCAAAGCTTTAGAAGCTGAACTTGAACAAATCCAAACAACCTTATCCAGCAAGGGCAGAAGATAAATAATAAATACAACAATTAGCAATAGATTTTTTGATTTTTTTAAAAAAAAAAAAAGTTTTTTAATATAAAATTTACCTTTTTTTTTTAATTTGTTATTATTATTTATTTATTTATTTATTTACTTATTTATTCTTTAATATTAATTATTTAATTACTTAATATATACATTTTTTTTAGTTATTAATTTATTAATTTATTATTACTATTATTATTATTTAGTAATAAGAAATGTATCATATATACAAGATTATATTCTGGAGTTTATAATTAGAGATTTTAATATTTTTGCAATAGTATTTATGAAATATTTATCTTTTGTGCACTGGTTTTGTTGGAATATTTAGTAAAATGGCATTATAGGTTTATTTTTTAATATCAAATAGAAAATATATTTAAACACACATATTATAAAGACAAGAAGAAAAAAAGAAAATAAATATATGCATATAATATAAATATATACGTGTTATTATTATATTTTGGCTTTAGACGCGTTTAAACTCGGTTTCGATTTCTGAAATTCCAACCGGAACTTCAGCCTTTAATAAAAAACCAAATAAATTGTTAAGATGAATGTATAGATAAGAAATGAGAGAAAAAAATATCAAATCAAATCAAATCAAATCAAAATAAACCTTTTCATCATAATCAGCCCAAATGCCTTCAGTTAAATCTATATCTTCAAATAATGTTTTAGAATCAACTCCTGTAGCTTTAAATCCCATCTAAAAATATATTATGTAATGAAAATATCCAATTATGTTAATCGATCTCTTAAATAAACATGTTGATTGATTAATTAATTGATTGATTAATAATTACTCTTGGTTCAAAATCAACAAGTTCCAATCCTCTACAATCTACGGCCAAAATTTTAACAAATTTCCCATTGTTTTCAATAGTATATAATTGAGTTGGTATTGGATCAATTTCTATTATTATTAAGAAAGTTTTTAATTTTAAATATTAAATTATTTTTTTAATCGAAAATTTTTTTTGTTCTAATTCTATTGATTTAATTACGCGCTGAACTTTCACGTCTACAAAATTTACATCTGATGACTAAATTCGCTGTTCCTCTTGATCCAAGAATTTCATTTTGAGACTGATTATATATATATAAATATGTAAATAAATATATAAACGATGATAAATAATACTTACTAATTAAGATTATAGATTTGATGAAAAATCAAATATTTACCAATCGATTCATTCCAACCCAGTTCTCATTCAATTCATTACAACTATTACATTTCACCTAATTAATTACAAACAAACATTAATTAATCTTATACATGATACTACTAATTAACCTCTAAAAATTACATAGTAACTTTACTTTAAAATGCCACTCATACTCATCACCACTTGGTCCAACATCTGTAACGTTTTCCAATTCTGCTTTAAAAAAAAGTCCAAGTTTCTACATTAATAATGATAATAATAAATTTAATCAAATTGCTTTATTATCATTTTTATTATTATATCAGTACAGATTAGTTTACTTACAACCATGTTTTAGTTTGAAAGAATTTAAATTTTGTACAACAAAAAAAGTAGAGATTATACAATTTTATTTTTTAATTTATATAGAGACTTTTGAACAATAAAATAATTTAAATAGACTACAGGAAAAAAAAAAGTATTTTTATAAATATCAAATATTATTATTTTTAAAATCAATACTATTATTATTAATAATATTAGCAGTAGTATTAGTGGTGGTGGTTGTGGTAGTAATAGGATTAATTTGATGTTGAAATCTAGGTGCAGCATTCCAATAATCATAAGCAGCCTCATAATCAAATTTTTCAAAAGATTCCGGTCCATTTAAAGAAATCATAAAATGATAATTTAAACTATTAATATCTATCAAATTGTTATAAAATCTATTCTTAATAAGATTCTTGTAGAAAAATAATTGTTCGATTATACTATTGGATATAGGCAATATCAAAGCCATTTCAATTAATTTTGTTATATTTGGAAAAGATTGTTGAAAGTTTGTATTTATCGATCGAATTTTCTTCCATCCCTCCAAGAACGTGTAATCTTTATACTCTACCAACAAATTCTTTACTGTCTTCCATTCTTTTAGTACAATTTTTTCTTCAATAAATGGTGAATATAAAACACCAAAATCATTGTATTTTTGTTTGCCATAAAAATCTATTAAAACTTTTATCTCTTCTTCACCATATCTTTTTAACAATTTTTGTTCTATTGGGATTTCTCTCGGATCTAAGATCCGCATTGCGCTATATAATGAACAGTCTGGGAATCGATTTTTTAAGCTGTAAATTGTTGTTTCTGAAAATTTTTTGATAAATGCTATATATGTTGTGCGTGTGCGTGTGTGGATGAGATGATTCATTATTATTTTTTTATTAAAAAAAATTATAATTAAATAAACAAAATAAATAAATAAATATATATTTACCTGGTAAATTTTCTGGTTGTATTAAATTAAGGGTTATATAACTAGCCAAATGAGTTCCATAGCGTGGTGCCGAGTCTTCGCTACCAATGAAATTATCAGTAATTTGTTGAGTAACATTTAAAAGTTGTTTTTCAGTTTCACCAAGAAATAAGCAATCTGTTTGGAAAGCCACTACCATCGAATGTATTATACCCAACATATCAGCTAAAAATTTTGTTGCAATGATAAATTGTGTATCAATTGAATCATGTAAGAACTTGGCCATCAGGCTAGAGGTTAACTTCTTTTGTAATTCTAATTTGATATCGTCGATTATTAAATTAAAATTGTGAACAACTGTGATCCATGAAACCCATTGAGTATCTTCATTATTTAAAATATTTATATCAGACTGTTCGCTATATTCTCTTATTCCTTTTAATTCATATATTCTTTTATAGTAACTCGAAAAAAATGTATAGGTTCCTTTGAGAATCGATTTATAATTTTCAAAATAAGAAACTTGATTTGCTGCATCTTCAAGGGCCAAATGAACACGTTGAGCAATACAATGATTTGATGTTAAGTAAGGATTACGTTTTTTTAAAAGAACACTCAATCCATTTTGAAATCCTATAATAATAAAAATTAAAAAAAAATTTAATATTAATAATAAAATGGCACATTCATATTTATATATGTGTGTATACATATATATATATACATAATATAAAATAAAATTATTTACCTGACATGGTAGAGGCGCCATCACTACCAAAATGTGCTAATTTTACTTTATTCAATCCTTTATCCAAAATAAAAGCCTCGATAGCTTCAAATAAAGATTCGGATGATGAATCACCAACTCTCATCATACCTAAATAACGTAAAATTGGTATATCATTAACCATATGTTTAGAAATAAAAGTTAAGGTTTTTTCGGATGAGGCCTTTATATTACTCTCATCCACAAGCAAACTCCAACAAGACGAAGAATTAATCTCTTTTATTACAGCCTCTTCTATTGGACGAGCAACAGATTTCAAAAATTCATAGCTCGCAAGTGGGTTTGTATAAATATAATTGGAAAATGATGAAAAGGTGTTGATATTGGTGGTGGCAGTGGCGATTGAAGGCGAGGAAGATTGCTGTAAAAGTTGTACTGTTTGAAATTTTGTAGCGTTGGTATTATTTATTGTTGGTGAACGCAAAAGCGATAATGGTTCGTCACTTATAATTCTATTTTCATTAATTTTTTGATAATTCACTAAAGCGACCAACCCTGGAAAAATATTAATATCTAAATTGTGTTGTGAAAGAAAATATAAATTACGCATTTGCATTATTGTGTTGTTAAGCTCTGAACCTAAACTACGATTTATTACTTCTGTTTTAATGATTGTTTCTGCTGGTTCAGTCATTTTGATTGCTTGTCTGTGTTGCGGGGACCGTCGATGTCTATTTATATAATCCATTTTCATATAAGTACAACCTTTAGTTGCCCATTCCGATTTCATCTTAAATTTTTCGCAAAGTGTACAAAACATAAGATCCTTTCCGTTAGCATCCTTTGCGTGTCTTATCCAATTAAAAACTACGGCCCATTGAGGATTATATTTTAAATTTTCTTTGGCTAATCTATCTGATTTACGAGCTTTTTTTTTTGGTGGTTCTTCCACAGCTTGATCTGACACATTTTCATCTTTTTCTATTGTTATCTCCTCATTCTTGACAATAACATTATTATTTTTTCCATGGTTACCAATAATGTTGATGATAATATTATTATCATCATCCTCATTTTTAATATTGTTGTTGCTACTATTACCGACATTATTATTATTATTATCGATAGTAGCAGCTGAAGTAGAAACGTTATTAGTGGTATCGTTAACAACAGCAGAAGTATCGGTAGCAGAAGTAGATGCGGTTGCCGTAGTATTGATCGCTATAGTGTTAGTGTCAGAGGCAGAAGTGGTAGTAGTAGCAAAGGCAGGTGAAATATTAATATTATCAGTTTGTTTCTGAATGTTTAAGGTTTCATTATTGTCTTGTTCAACAGATTTTCTTTTAAGAGAAGAGGTAGGCGATGTTGATTCGATGGTATTCGGTGATGGGGCAGTTACAACTTCAGGAATAATGCCTATTTCACCATCGAAAATTTGAAAATTTAAGGTAGCCGAATCGAATTCTGCCTCATTTACGGAATTATAAAACTGCAAATCTTTTTGTGACATTTTTAATTAAAAAGATAACTGATCCATATATTATATAAATTTTTTTTGAAGTGAAATCTAGGAATATTATATTTTTATATTATTCCTTATTTCTTTAGAAAAAATTTTTTTTTAAATGAGGTGTGTGCACAAAAACCAACAATTCATTGAGCCAAATGCGGTGCAGATCATCTATAATCAATTAATTGTAACAATTGGTCGCCTTAAAAAAAAAAAATTTATATCATTTTAAAAAAATTAGCCAATAAGTTTTATTGTTCATGACTCAAGCTTCAAAACCCATATGTTAGATTTTTCTTAAACCAAAAATTGCCTGAACCTTGGCATTTTAAAAACTTCA